GTGTGCTGACATGCTGCAATCTCATTCCTAGCCTGAGGGGGTGTACCCGGAAAGAGAATTACCCAATGTTTTCGTATGACGTCTTCTTTCCTCTCAAAAACTACTTTACAGGATGGTCCAAAAGTCGGCTGTTGGCCCAAAGCTACGTTCCAGAATCTGTCAATGGGGAGGGGAGGATTCTTTTTTGGCCGCTGCGGAACTTTTGAATGTACTTGTTAAATGAATTGAGAAGGAAAGGTGGCACATTAATTTCAACGGCGGAGATAGGCATGACTACGTTCGTCTATGTTCAGATTAGAAAAAAACTTGGGTTAGACTCGAGTCCAACAGCCACCGTGCTGCGTTGTATGTATTTACCATTCATACTTCCTTCTTTCTTTTATTTGAATCCCCCCAAATCCACCTTCAAGAAGTAGATGTTTAATTAGGCGGCTGGTGGCTTTTTGACCTTGTGTTTTACTGACATGCTCCTGTTTAGTCTCAAGTTTGTGACAGGTTGTTCACCTCAGGAAATCTTCAACCAACTCTTTAAAACTCCTCCCTGCTGCATCCTTCCTTTCTCAGCCAAAAAAATAAGAAAAAGTAATACGTTTACCAAGGAGATTGTGCTATGCGTCTGTTTTTAGTCAAATTCAGGCATGAAAATAGTATAATGCATGTATACTGGCATTAGTACTAAAAGTGTTTTGCAGTTGGTTTTGTACTCCACTGAAATTTGTTCATTCATAATTTCTAACATACGTATCAGAGTTTAACTGAGCAGCTATCAAAATACAGGCTTGACGATAGCACACCACTGGCAATGTGCTGTCAAAACATCAGTCAAACTGTCGCTGAACAAATTTCCCATCCCATAGTCCCGAATGAGGTCAGAATGTTTAAATGGGACCATTTCCACATGTGTGTCGAAAAGGGAGGAAGTCTTGTCAGGAAAAGTTCAACGTTCGCGAAAGCAACACAGGCATCCACCCACCCACATCGACCCAAATCACAAACAACGAATGCATTTTAAGTTCAAGCTCAAACTGAAAAGCAAATTTGCATATACGTCTATGATTGACATGTGAACTTTATTATATGTGATTTGGTCGATCTACAGCAACAGATGTTACTGAAGTTGTAAGCAAATGGAGCTGCAACAACAAATAAGACAAATATGAACTGGGATTGGGAAGCTCTAAAAGCATGTTAGATTGAATAATATAATAAAATAGATAAAACAACTCTTATTGAAAAAAGGGAGAATTGATAACTGCAACTACCATAATTGCCGGACTATAAGATGGAACTTTTTTCAAGTCCTTTGAATTATGCGGCCTGTTTAGCAATACAGCCAATGTATGCATCTTTATTGTGGCAAAGTATCTCCTACAGAAAGAGGCTGCGGAAACATCAGGTCACACCATCAGGATTTCAAAACTTCTGGAGTTTATGCCGTTAATTGCTGCTCTCTTGCAAAACACCAGACTTTTGGTGGTTCCTGAAGTCTCAAAAAGCAGTTTGAGGTAGAGCATAGCTACAGTACCAAGCTTCTACAGTACACTGCAGAATCAGCTCCCTATTCAAGTCAAGGAAGCTAAGACAGTCTCTACATTCAAGGCCAGGCTTAAAACAGTCCTTTTTAATTTTGCATATGGTTAGGTAAGACTCAGGGAAGACTTAGAATTACAACCTTAAGTCTAAAAACACAGATTGTCAGTCAAGCTGCATATGGAGACACCTTGCTGGGCGAAGTATGGTGACTTGAGCACTATCTTCTCCTCTTCCTACTTTATCATTATCATTATGACAGCTGTAGTCTGTTCATTGCTATTCACCCACTATCCCATTATCTCTTTCATGGTATGATGATGGGACCCGTACATCTCCATCGGCATCTGTGGACTGTTTTCCCTGGCGCAGACTTGTGGGCTGCACTCCCTTTCTGCCTGGGAGCCGCCTAAGTCCTGCATTGTGTGGTCTAAGTCCTCGTTCTACAGCCTGAGTCCTGGATCTATAGACCGTCTATGTATCAGTCTGTGGAGTGGATCCCTTTCTCAAAGTGGGCCTCCCCGTGGTTTTCTTATTTTCTCCCACTGGGTTCATAGCTTTTTTTTCTCGGTGATGCAGGAAGGTTTAAGGACAGTGGTGATTCTCCGTATTTTTTTAATACTTAGCACGTTTCTGATTCTCTGATCTGTGTTGGGGAATCGACAACTATGTAAAGTCCTCCAAGATAACTCCTTCCATGATTTACTGCCATACAAAAATAAATTGAATTGATTGAATTAAGTCAATGCTGAACAATAAACAGTGATAATACTTCTGAGGTTCTTTCACAGGAGGGATGAAAAGAGACATGAGAATATGTATTAAATTGATGATAAATATGTTTTGTCATATTCGTCAATCCTTTGTGGTCCCAGATACACTCTTGGATCAAATGCAGGAAGAGGCTGTTCTCTTCGTTCCTGTTTGGTCAGAGGTCGTCCAGCTGACGCACGCACACTCAAGTATCGAGTATCTCCTTTTGTAAAGCTAAGCCACCGCCACCAGCACTCTTACAGTGAGTCCATCCATCTCAGAGCTTTTTGCATATCAAAGAAGCTATACATTTACTAGGTTAAGCCCCCCCTTGGCTCATGTCTGACTGTCTGCCCTGTAAAAGCATAATGACCACAACTCCACTGTCCCTCGAGCAACAAAAGCAGCAGGAGAGACACACTGTACTTCATTAACAGGAATGTACACCGTCTCCATAGAGTCGTAAAAACTACTGCTGCTACTGTGATCCAGGAGTAAATATAATCCAAGAAAATCCCAGCCTCTGACACTGATAGATCTTGATATGAAGTACACAAGGGAAACCCAAAAGAAGACAAAAAAAATCAGAACGTAAATTACTTAAACATGTATTTCTAGTGGAATGAATGACAGATTTGTGAATCCAGGCCAACATTTTGGTATGATTTCATATGATAGGAAGATGTTTTTGCAAGCGGAGACCCACTGTCTAGACAGAGCGGATTAGATAAATATAAATCTGTTTTTAAAAATCAACATCATTCTTCAAAGAACATGATATATAACTTGACATAATTCATTAACATCAAATATGATATTATCTGGTTGATAATGGAACAGGAGACCATTTATTTCACAGCCCCCAGATAACAAGGCTCAAGATTAAAAAGAAATATTGCATTATTTTTCAACTTTACAGGCAATAAATTGTAACCACCACAAACAAACATTAGTCCTTACAGTTACATGAATGATAATTACTGGTGTGTCATGTCAAAAATGGTAATTGTGAGGTTATTATTGACTTAATGACTGAGGTTATGAGAATAAATGTAGGTAATGGAGGGTAAGCCATTTCAAACCGTCAATGATCTGATTGTTGGTGTTCTTGTTTTATAATTAAAAAAAACATAAAATAAGTAGTAACAACTATTGACATGAGGTTCCATGTTCACTCCCATCTCTGTGTGGAGTGAGAGACAAATGCCCAAGAAAAAAAATATACAATTGTAAAGCTCTTTGTGACTCGGGTCTGTGAAAGGGGATATATAAATAAACATTACCTACTTATTTACTTGACATAACGATGCCCCCACAAAGAGGTAGAGCACGTTTCATCACATGTGAACGATACTAAAAGGGCCAATCCGCAATAGTTGGGTTTTCACTGTGCACTAAACACATGCACACATCTTGTTGCTGTGGCACTCTCTCTCTTTCTCCATGTGTCAAACTAAACCCACTGAAGCTGCCTCCCATTCACTCATTCACAGTCTGACTGCTCACTGCACAAACATCTTACTAACTTAAGCACAATGGAGCCAGTCGACCAGAACTAATCACCTCTGCTGACTACTGGTTACCAAGGAGGGGAAATCTAGGGAAATGTGCTTTAAGGGGGTCTGCAGCACGGTGGTCAGAGCAAGAAGGTCGCAGCCTGGAATCTTCAGTGTTGAGATTTTCCGAATAAGGTTCAATCATTCAGTTTCCTCCCATCTTAAAACTCAGCGGGGATAAGACAGCACTTTACATTTATGTATATTTTGTGGGTAAAAGTTAGTATTGTTTCCTTGTAAGAGATATCAGGATCCATCTCATATACTGTAGGTCAAACTTATACTAAAACTTGACATAAATATAAATGTTAATTAAAGCCGCAAGTGGCGTCGAACGGCCCTTGCCGCACCACGCAAAGGAGTTGGCACCGCCACGCCATGATTTGCTCCTGTAGCCATAGAACAATGCACATAAATTGTAATCAATATACTCAGTTGGTTTGGCCCCCCATGTAAAACTTTGCTTTAGCTTGGGCCTAATAATTGTTACAGACTTGGCACCATTGTGAGGAAAAGCCAGTGACACACAGACATTACTTCATGCCTCTCTGCTATAGCCCCTGAAAAAAAAAAACCTCTTTAAGTAACTGGACACTAACTAAATATAGACATCCAACAGACTATTTTTCTAAATTCTGCAGGTCAAATAGTCCACAATTAGAGGGTTTTTACACCTTTGTCTTGAGGAGGACCGCTGTATATATTTTGCACTCTTACTGAGTTAATAAAGGTCATTGCAATTACATACCGACTTGTGTTGCCAAAATCTTCCTGCCTGTGGCTAACCCTAACATTATTTACAGATGCAAACCACCTGCTAGGATTTGGCTAGAAACTGTACAAACGTGTATACTTAGTTTTGTACATGCTTTCATTTGAATAACTGTATAGTGCTATTATTTTCACCTACTTTTAAATGTCATATCAGTCGATAAACTTTTCTTCCGGCACAAACTGAAAAAAAAGACCACCCTCGCTCAGTTCTCAGCTCAAAGTGTCACATAACAGTTCAGGTAAACGGTTCTGAATCAGAATCTTCTCTGGACCTATGGGTCTGTGTATATTGGGTATTTTGTGTTTTGACATCAGCAGTTTGATCATCCGAGTTATCCAAACACTGACGTATTCAATTTGGTCATTATTGCCCACCCCGAGTTGTACCTGAATGAGAGAGTTGTAGTCTGGGTCCACTTTGGCTCCATGGTCTGGGCTCTAGACCAGGACTGGACTGAGCGGACCAGAGCAGAGACGCCAGGCACAGCAGGAGGCTCTGGAGATGACGTACTCTGGACTGGGACATGGCCATCGTAGGATTCACTGGTCTGGACCTACTGACATCACTCTCAGCCTCTTGTCATCTGCGGGGGAAGGGAATAAGGATTTAATTCATAAGAAGACTGAGACAAGACAGAATGTAATGTGAAAGCTGCAGCATGAGTTTAGGGCCACAAGAACAAGACGTCAATTTAAAAATAATTTCTTGTCATATTGTAAGATTGTGTCCCATTCCTTGTATATACATTTAGAATTGCTTTTTAAGGCAAAAGGATTCATACAGGATGTGAGAAACATGTATGACAAATCAAACCTTAAATATTTCAAAACAATTATTATTTATCAGTGCCTAATGTATTCAAGTAGTTTGATATGTTTTAACAATCTCTGTGTTTGTAAATATATGCTGTACTTGGGCACAAATGGGGTAAATAGTATGAAAAAAGGGCAGAATATGTTGTGTTGTGATTGGGTATTATTTTATATAATCAAGGAGCTGTATTTTAACCATTAGTCAGATCACATTATTCTGCTAATTATGTCTCTTTCAGGCTGATTATAGGCTCTGTACTCTAGTGATCTGAAAAAACTCTACTTCATCTGAGGACGTAGATTTGTGTCTTTTCATGTTATACTAAATCACCAGTTATTTGAAATTCAGCCAAGACAATCCAACAGCTGCCTTTTTATCTCATCAAACATGTTCAGTCACTTTGAAACTTTCTGACAACATCTTCTCCTGCTCTGTGTGTGACACCAGACAAATTACCTTGGGAGGCCACCACTGTCTGCATCAATATTTTCATAAAACAGACTCTGTATTGGACCATAACCTTTGAATCTAAATGTATTTTTATGATTCTCTTGGTAAGTACTTTCCAGTGTATTTATTATCCTCTGCCTAAACACATCAATTTGATAAACTTATTTTTCTTACACCCTGCTTCAGACTTAGGTGTTAAGGATGCAGTTGTAAAGGGCATGTCGAGCTTTGTTGTCATGTGAAAGAAGGAGATGGAAAGATTATGGTTAAGTTTGTGGTTTACTGTCACTCAATTATAATTAAGTGACAGTAAACCACAAACTTAACCATAATCTTTCTTTGGCTGATCACCAAAGAAAGTACTGTTTAATCATGCTAAACAGACAAATAGAAATATCACAATTCAGAATGATTTACGATTCCTTGTGATGAATACCATGCTTATGTGTTGCGGTATGATTAATAATAACAGAATCAGGATGTATTCAGAAGTGCACTCAGACAGCGACTTCTGACCTAAGTTCCAGGGTGATTTTCCGACTTGTGCAGCGTTCATGTGCATATTTCAACTCGTAAAAATATTTTCACAAATTCCTGACTTCATTGTGAACGTGGTTTCTACCGGAGGCAACTTTGTAAGTGTGTAGTAGTAGTAATTATTTTCATACCGCCTTTCACAGACCAGAGTCACAAAGCGGTTTACAATTGTGGACATTTGTCTCTCACTCCACAGAGAGATGGGAGCGGGGTCGCCAGTTCAGGAGGCGCATGCCAGACCTATTGCACATGTTTTTATTGTTATAGGGGAAACAGGAGCAACCGGAGGAGACCTGCGCAGACACGGGGAGAACATGCAACCCCACTCAGAAAGGCCCTGTTCCAACTTAACAAGTTTGTTTGTATCTTCCAGCATGTAAGGGGCGGGGTTTTGTTTACAGCTACCGAGACTCAAACATGGCGAGTGGAGCAAAGGCCAGGTCATGTGACTGAACGCCAGCTATAGCAGAGATAGTATTAGTTTATGTGTTCTCCAAGGAAACTCGAGATTATTCCATTCCTTTAAATAAACTCACATTTCAGGTGGATCACTGACTTCCTGACGGACAGGAAGCAGCGAGTGCGTCTGGGGAAGAATGTCTCGGACTCTCGGATTATAAATACAGGAGCCCCACAGGGCTGTGTTCTTTCTCCCTTGCTCTTTTCCCTGTACACCAACCACTGCACCTCCAGCCACGACTCCGTGAAGCTGATCAAGTTCGCGGACGACACCACCCTCATTGGACTCATCTCCAACAACGATGAGTCCGCCTACAGGAGGGAGGTGGACCGGCTGGTGTCCTGGTGCAGTGGTAACAACCTGGAGCTGAACGCCCAGAAGACAGTGGAGATGATTGTGGACTTCAGGAAGAGCACTGTCCCCCCGCCCCCACCCTCCGTGATGGACTCCCCCATCACCTCTGTGGAGTCCTTCCGTTTCCTGGGCACCACCATCACCCAGGACCTCAAGTGGGAGCCGACCATCAGCTCCCTCATCAAGAAGGCCCAGCAGAGGATGTACTTCCTGCGGCAGCTCAGGAAAGCCAAGCTGCCTGCACAGATGTTGGTGCAGTTCTACACGGCCATCATCGAGTCCATCCTCACCTCCTCCATCACCGTGTGGTTCGCTGGAGCCACAGTCAGGGACAAACAGAGACTACAGCGCATTGTGCGCTCTGCAGAGGAAGTGATCGGCCGCAGCCTTCCATCGCTGCAGGACCTGTACGTCGCCCGAGCTCGAGGCCGGGCTGGTCGTATCACAGCCGACCCCTCTCACCCTGCACATGGACTATTCCAACCACTCCCCTCAGGCAGGAGGCTGCGGTCCATCAGGACTAGAACCTCCCGCCACAAGAACAGTTTCTTCCCCTCTGCTGTTGGACTCTTGAACACTTCTTAACCTGTCCCCCCGCCCTTTATAAAGTCACTTTACTGCCCATCATACGTCACTTTACTTCACTGTACTGCTGTCACCTTACATTGTGTGCACCATGTGCACTTGTATATTGTAAATAGTAACTGTAACTCTATTTTAAATTTAAATTTATTCTTTAGAAGTGTTTTTTATTCTTATTTTTATTATCTCTTTTTGACTGTTGCACTGAGCCAAAGCAATTTCCAAGTCTGTGACCTCCCGTTACTTACGTTGGCAATAAAAATGATTCTGATTCTGATTCTGATTTCCAACATCAGCGACCTTTAGTACAAACTGTGAAACTGTGACAGAAGCCCAACATAAACACATCCTCAGAGCTGTACAGTAACCTACATTGTATTCGAGACAACAGGATCACAGTCCAACAATGTCGACTAAAAACAGACTCTTGGCCTGATCACGTTTACTTTTAGCACACACACACACATGGATGTATTTATGAAAAACGTTTAATTGTGGGATTTCATCATAATAGTTGTAAGTATTTGTTTTGCTTGAATATGGAAGCACAATTGGCCTATACTTGTAATATAGAATGTTTGCATTTTTAAAATTGGTTCTTTTGCATTATTAATTATTATGCATTTGGTTTCATATGGCCATTTGTCTATACATTCTCTCTACAATCAAAAAATCTCATTGTTATTTTTCAGTTCTCAAATATTATCTATGGTTCAATACAGAGGCGATCGATGCCCCGCAATATATTATACAATCACTATGTATGACAATATTAATAAGAACAATTTAGACCAGGGGTGTCCAAACTCAGGCCCAGGGGCCAATTGCGGCCCTCAGTGTCAGTGAATGTGGCCCTCTGCTTCGCTAACCCACAGTAGTCTTTGAGATCATATACACAAGTTCACTGTGTCATCCATCCAACTTCAGCTCACACAATATAGACCTTGTTCTAAAGCACAGTATGTCTGGAATTCAGTCATTGTCATTCAGTCAACTTCAGCTCTGTTATAGATCATTTTAAAGCTCAGAACAGCCCGAAACCAGTCAAGACAGTTTTTCAGTCAGTGACGTCGGACCCTGGACTAGTCTGATTAACTAAAGTGGCCCTCTTAATAAAAAGTTTGGACACCCCTGTATTAGACACTGCTGTCCTACTTGATTAGCATATACAATATGCTATAATCGACTGGGCTGAATTAATATTATTTTGAAATGTGTTATTTTTTGCCTCGGACTAATAGCTTCAAGAATAATTTCTCATCAATTTACCTTATCTAGTGGTCACTTCCCCGACCAGAGCAGCCTGCCTCGTTCCTGACCCTGTTGCACTTTTGTCTGACCTCAGGTGGAGGACATTGTTTACAAATATGTTCCCATAGTTATCTGCTGGCACTTTATAAATCATTCTTCCTGTTAAGTTAGAGGAGGTCGAGTCAGACAATGAGAAAACACAAGTTCTCAGTCCAGTGTGACCTTCAGAATAGCAGCTTTACGGACAAACAGCCCTGGGATTTAACTATGCAAATAATATTCACGCTGGAGTGGGAAAAGACAGATTTATAAAAGTCTGTGTGAATCCAGGTATGAGCCCAAACAACTGACCAATCAGAAGCTTCCTGTCCCAAATCCAAATGCAGGTATAGCTCCTGATTGGTGCTTGGTAACTCGGTCATTTCTAACAAACATGCACCCATCCATCCATCCATCTTCTTCCCCTTAATCCATTTCTGGGTCGGGGGGGGGGGGGGGGGGGGGGGGTGCTAAGTGTAATGCACCCATTACACTTAGCACCAGCCCCTCACTGATCCTCCTGCAGGTGGTGAGTCCACAGGAGCTGAGATCTTTCAGCAGGGGCTTCGGGCAAAATGGGGTTAAGTGTCTTGCCCAAGGACACAACGACACCAGACATCAGTGGGAGTCGGTGGAGAAGGTATCGAGGTGGGAAACGAACCCACGACCTTCAGGCCTAAAGGCCGATGCTCTACCAACTGAGTTAATGTCGTCCCCTATTTTGTCGCCCCGTATTTTGTTCTAACAAACAAATTAGCATAAATATGGCTCCACATTCTTGCTCAAACAGCCTGATCATGTTAGCGCGAATCGGCTTCATTAGGCAAACTATGGTCCATGCAATTAACAGAAATGTAGGTAAATATTGGTTTGATTTATCAAATTGTATAATTAATTTACAAGATTATTTAGTTGTACTTCTATTAGATTAACCATTGTTGTTACACTATAGTGATAGAAAAAATTCTTAATTCTTTGTAATCAAGCATGGTTAGCATGGTTAGCATTGTTAGCATGGTTAGCGTGTGTCTTTATTAGTTGTGGT